ATACAAGCATATATATATATCAGTATTGTTACCGAATGTGACTTACAGCCATTACAGCTACTAAAATTTCTATCGTACACTCACACATATATATTATATATATATATATATATATATATATATATATATACCATCTGATAGCTTCTATACCTTGCACCTGCATGCAGCTACCACCGCATGGACCATCTGATAACTTGTAATACCTTGCACCTGCATACAGTAATGCAAACAGAGGGGTTACTAGGGGCTCTATCGTCATTCATAGCCATTCCAAGTGTGAGCGGTGACCCCGCGTGCAAAGACCATTGCTGGAACGCGTCCAAGTTTCTGAGCGCACGTTTGGAGGCTATTGGCGCATCGGTTAAGCTAGCTACGGCAGTAGAAGGTCAGAACCCGGTAAGTGTTCTGAGTGCATTAGAGATACTCGTATATGTGTCGTGTGGTTTTCGATCCTTTGTTAGAGGATACTAGTGCACATTAGTGTTAACGGTTCCGTATAGATGTCTTGTTTGTGGAAACATACATGGACCGAGCACAAGTCTGGAGGCCAGCGGTGCATCATTTAATCGGGACACGGCTGTAGAAGGCCCAGAAACCGGGCCGTGATGGGATATTGGCCGTATGTATCCGCATGTAATTCAGGTTTTCCTATGAGAAGAACTCTTAACCCCTAAACCATAGAATATGTTGTGGTGTACATGTCTCCATTGAGCCAGATTGTGGGCTGAATCAGTGCTGTATCCCATTGAGTAGTGTCCTCTCGTTCAGAGACCATTGTGGAAACGCACTTGTGGGTTGCGGAGTTTCTGAGCACACGTCTGCAAGCCGACTACGCATATCGGTGAATATAGGTACGGCTGTTGCAGACCAGACAAATGGTACACAAGTTAGAGCCGGTATCTGTTTCATATGGTCTTACATGCCACTCGCAAGCACCAAAGTAGAAGGGCAGTACCAGACAGCCGCACCCACACGCGCGCGTGCCCGTGGTATCTCCGCGCCTTCGCACAAAATTGCTCACCGAGAATATCCACAACGAGTCCGGCCTATTTGAGAGCAAACTTTCTTAACACGAATTCACTCCCATCTTTCACTCGCGATACCGCGCATCAATGCAGCGGCTTTCCACGTCGTGGTCACAAACTTTCAAATACTTGTTTGTAAATACTTGTTTGTTTCTTATCGCAGGTTGTACTTGCGCGGTTGGGTGAGGATAAGTCCAAGCCAACTGTAGTAGTGTACGGTCACTACGATGTGCAACCCGCCAGACACAAATACTGGAAGACAGATCCCTGGGTAGCCACCTCTATGTATGTCCTTACAGAGATATAAATAACCATGTATGTCCGTACAGAAGTATACATAGCCATTTAAGTGCTTACATATGATACAAATTACTGTGCACATGCACACAGTAGATAGAAGTATATGTGTATTTGTTTAGAGAATTTGTAGATAGCTGTGTATCAGATATAGTGGTGTACTGTCACTGCTATATGCGACCAGCCACACACGTGTTGGAAGACCAATTCGTGTGTGTAGCTACCTCTATGTATGTTCGTTCGGGCTATACATACTATTGCATATCGCAAGCATGTTGTCAGCATGTAGCGGGTCTACACTCCCTGATAGGTGCCTACAGAATATGGGGGTACTCCTATATATTGCCATCATATTTTGGATTTCACGAGCTGGCCATCTTCATTTGTGTATGTTCAGTCCATGTAGTTACCCTTGTATATCGCAAGCATGGTGTGGATTTGACGTACTGGGTAGTCACTCCAGGTGACCTATGCATTCCTAATGATGGCATACTTCAAACTCACCTGTACAGTGACGGTTACGTCATTGGGTACTGCCAACGATAAAGGTCGTATCCTAGCAACCATTCATGTTCGTATGAATATACTGTAAACACCTTGGAAATTTACATGGACATTTGAATGTATGCATACACACGCGCCGGTGTACGAAACATACGCACCCATATTACTGATATATTTCATGTTCTCTTGAACAGTGACGGTTATATCTATGGGCGGGGTACCACCGACGATAAAGGCCCTATCTTAGCCACAATATTTGCTGTGCAGCAACTGGTGGAAGAAAATGCGTTGTCTGTGAACATGGTGTTCATATACGAAGGCGACCAAGAACGCAGCGAAGGTTCCAGCGCCGGTTTGTTGGAGGTATAGGTTTTGTTGTGTATGTGTTCGTTTATGAATGTGAATAGTACGTGGGAGTTGATGTATAGGTTTTGTTGAGTATGTGTTCATTTATGGATGTGAATAGTACGTGGGAGTTGATGTATAGGTTTTGTTAAGTATGTGTTCTTTTATTAATGTGAATAGCACGTGGGAGTTGATGTATAGGTTTTGTTGTGTATGTGTTCATTTATGGATGTGAATAGTACGTGGGAGTTGATGTATAGGTTTTGTTGAGTATTTGTTCTTTTATTGATGTGAATAGCACGTGGGAGTTGATGTATAGGTTTTGTTGAGTAA